CAATGGGGCCAATTATCGGGTATAAAACCCGATACCTTGCGAATCCGCCACAAGCATTTCTCCTCTTACCTAATCCTATATTGGAGACCCGCAATCCGCTTTTGCCCAAGTTGCGGTAGCGAAGGCCCGGAGTGACGTTGGCAGTGCGGTTTAGTTGCAGAGGAGCGGTGGGTGCCGAATGCGTCAAACCAGCGAGCAGCAGCTGCTCTTTCGTCAGCCCGCCACCGTCCGCTGCTCGATCCGCTAGACCGCTTAGTCCGCTGCCTGCGCTAAACTCTTCCATGCAATCCAGACTCGCTATTGGTGCGCGGCACCTGAAACAACAAACGCCTCACTGTTTTGGCGGCAGCGAAGGCCTCAACTGAAGAAACCCGCTCGAAAAGACTTACCTATAAATGGTCGGCGGATGCGAATCCTCGCTTACATTATCGTTATTGTTATTGTCGTTGCTTGAGTAATTGCATAGAGTTACTTGTGACATTATCATTAATTAACAGTGAAACGATTCAATCAGTGAGTAAATGGTCGATTCGTGTTTTGTAAAAGTCAAAACACGTGGCTTCTTAAGGCTATCGAGTAATTGAATATTGTGTTCTTAGGCACTACACGAACTCGGTTATTTTATCTTAATAAGGCAAGCGATTTTCCTAAGTTTACTCTGAAAAGAAAAAGAAACAACTATTAGCTGGCGCCCCGTCCATTGTGCATACAATCGCATGGAACATCCCGAAATCAACTATACCACCACCGAGTACTGCACCGTAAAATGCTTTTAGTGAGATTGTTTTATTTAAATTAAGGGAAATAAGAGCCGCACTAAAAAGTAATTCAGGAACGTAGCTTCCAACTTACATAATCTGCAAATCGCTCCGACTAAAACAAAACTAATATTCTTGCGGGAAACGAAAAACCACTTAGAGCCAGCAGGGCGTCTACAGGCAACTTCCAGCGGAACTCCGCAAAAGTGTGCAAAAATGCGGTCCTGGAACGCCCTTGAGCCCATCAAAATATTGTGCTTTAGCCGAAAACATCAAACGCTCTACGGACCGACTTTGTCGCGTAAAACCCCATAAAACTGGCTAATAAAATCTTCAAAGTGCATGATTCGCTTGCTTACACTCAAGTTAATAAAACTATTCGCCCAAAATAACCGCGACTTGCTTTGATCGTTCCAGCGTCATATAAAATTAGAAACACTCCTGCCCCTTCTACTGTTCTGGTGATTTATTTTTGTACTTCTTATGACGCGACGTTTTAACCTTTAGTCGTCATACAGCGTGTTCGGAAATTATGCGCAACAATTTTATATGCTTATACAGGGTGGTTCGCTGACAATCAAGATACTCTCCATAGGGTAATTTAATATTGACATGATGCGCCAGCCCTGATGCGATGCCCAAAATATTACCTACTTTTTGCAAATATTTTCATCTGCATTTAGACACACGTGTTCAAGCTTCATTCGCTCCATTCACTATGGAAATAGTGAAGTCGTAATTCAAAGGTTGCACACTCTCTGAGTCTGAGTTCGAACTCGTTTTACTCCCTTGCGCTATTCAATATAAGGCTGAAACAGTTTTTACTGCTACTTCTTCCGGGCTTTTGGTGGTGTTGGAAGTTTTGCAATATCTGGATATTTAGCGAAGTTGCTGTAACTTCGCTTTCATCATGTACACACAAAGAAATATACGTTTTTTGACTGTGAATATGTTGCTTCGAAAGTCGTCTATTCGGCTCTCTGATTTCGAACTCGTTTGACTCCCTTGTTATTGCCGCCATCCAATTTAAGGCTGGAATAGTTTTTATAGCTACTTCTGCAGGCTTGCTGGAGGTCTTGGAGTTTTTGAAATATCTGGCCACTTATCCAAGTTACGGGCAAAAGAGTGGAGGTATGCGCAAAAGGAACAATCGAACGGTTGCCAACATTCAGGGCTAATTTTCTCCCAAATCGTAGCTAATGTCGATTTTTTCCACCACGGCTGAATTCTAGCGAATACCTGTGACTGGCCATTTTTTCTTTTTGAAATATTGCCAACCGTTGCGGAGTTATGGGCAAAAATAAGTGTGCAAAGAATCTGGGTGGCAGTTGGAGTCTTTCTAACTTCAAATTCTATTTTCGGCTAAACCATATGCGAAAATTATCCTAATGAAATGTGCATTTTGGTATAAATTCGACTCTAAAATGAAAAATTTGCCCAACTGAAATTCTCAAAAAAAATTAAAAAATTTTGAAAAAAAATATAATTTAAACTTTTTTGGAAAACCTTAGAGTTGCTCCTAAAAATACATTTTAGCTGGTGATGGGAACTATCGAATAAAAACTATCAAAATATTCGATAGTTGTAATTTATTCGTATTATTCGATAGCGATGTTTAATTCAGTGATGGAAACTATCGAATAAAAACTATCGAGTTGTTCGATAGATCTATTTTGAAATTTTCGTGTTATATTGAAATTAATTTATTTGAGTTATTCGATAGCATTGTTTTATTAATTTATAATTACAGCATAATTCGTAATTACAGCATAATGAACAAATTCAAATTTTAAATTAGTTAATTTTGCACTTTTTAAGCGAATATATTCAATATTCATTTACTAAAATTGAAAAAGTCCTATTGGAACAAAATTACTAAGTACTATTAATAGTCTAATTAGCAACAGTATTAAATTTAACTCATTTGTAGAGTTTTTACTATATTATTTCAAGAAAAGTAGTAAATACAAACATTGAGGTAAAACAAATATGAATTGAATGAAAAACAACAGAATGGAAAAATAAGAACATCCATAAAATGAAAATATTTCATCACTTTTCTAACTTTTCTGCACTGCTCTAGATGGCTCATTCATTTAGTAACTATTCGATAGTCCAAATCATTCTATAGTGCCCATCACTAATTTTGGGGTCAAAAATCTTAATGCGCCGCCAAACTTGTAGCAAAACAGTGGCTTCCAGGAACAACCAGGGCTTCAGGTCTTTGAAAATTGATACAACTTTTTACGTCAAGACTATGGGCTTTTTAAGAGATTGTGAGTTTTTGAAAAATGTTGACAACTGGCCCTGTAACAGGGTAAAGAGTATGTGCAAGTTTGAGAGTTTTACGTTTGCCAATATTCAGAGCCCATTTCCTTCCAACCTGTTCCAATTAAAGTTTTTCTTATAGACAGTGAATGTATAGAGAATACACTTTACAAACAATATAATGTCCTATTGTGAAAATGAGTTAGTCGAGGTAAAAATTTAAAGTATTTTTTTCGGAAAATCGTCTTTCCGACCTGCAAATCATCATAATTTCAAAGTTTTTCAACCGATTGCAATTTTCCGAGGTGCAGTTTTTATAGAAGATCGTACGTTTTTTAACACACTTCAAAATTTACAAATCGCCCCTATATTAACAGTAATGCAGAAAATTTTTACACCCGAAAAGCTGGTTTTCCAAAAAAATGCGACATTAAATCCACAAAGGCAACATTGATAACATTTATCTTGAAGAATCGTCTTTTCGACCTTCAAACTCTTATGACTTTAAAATTTCTCAATCGACGCAAAATACGATTTTTAGCTAAAATGCTCGCTTTAGAACGAATTTTCAATGATCCAAATCGGGTCCGTTTTAAGAGAGTTTTGTTTCGAGAATAGACTTTGCAAACAAACTCAAGTTCCATTTTTAAAATGAGTTAATCAAGGTAAAAATTAAAAGTATTTTGTTCAGAAAATCGCCCTTTCTATATTCACATCATCATAACTTCCAAGTTTTTCAACCGATTGCAATTTYCCGAGATRCAGTTTTTATAKAARATYGTACGTTTTTCAACAAATTTCAAAATTTYCAARTCGGCTCGATATTAGCAGTTTTGCAGAAAATTTCTACATACAAAACGCCGTTTT